CAATAAGCTACTTGATTCAGTAACTATTCATAATTTATGGGTGATAAATATTCAGGACGCTGTCTTTTTTAAATTTTTTTATTTTTGCCAACGTTTCAACCCAAACATGTGGGTCATCTTCAGGGCTGAAAATGTTTTTTTCAGTATTATGTATTATAATATTAGTTAAGATTCATGTGCCATTAATCACTATAGTTTATTATTTATAATTAGCGGTTGTATACTATTATATCTCTGATTGTAATTTCAAAAAACATTTTCAGCCCTGAAGATGACCCACATGTTTGGGTTGAAACGTTGGCAAAAATAAAAAAAATTAAAAAAGACTGCGTCCTGAATATTTATCACCCATGATATGTAGAACAGTCGACTAACTACCTTCAAGTATTCATAATTTATATTATTAGTAAAGATCTGCCCTTTGTGATATTTTCATTTTTTTTTTTTAGAAAAACCGCGACAATAACAAAAAAAAATATTGCATTATTTATTTTGGTTTTAGTAATGCATATCTCATCAGATTTATTTTTTTTTTTAGTTTTAATCTTGTGTCGTTTCCGTGAAAAAAAAACATGTCTCTTTCTTTTTTTCTTTAATTATAACCACATGGGCAATGATTTAACTGTGGAGTGTTGCTTCTGAAATAAATAAACCTTTATTTCATTTAACTTAAAAAGGACAAAATAATTTAATAAATCGTTTTTTAAAATGAAAACTAGAGTACGAAATATTTGTATTTAATTTGGCTTTTCAACTCTTCGTATTCTCAATGATATGTAAAACCTCAAATTTCAGAGTTTTATATGTACACCACGAATATTTATTCTAGAATGATAATGTACTAACTGAAAATTTGTAATACTCAAACTTATATTAATAAATGATACAATTTAGTCATCGCCAAGTGCAAAATCAAGGTGCAGTTCACAGCTTCAAGATACTGTACAAACAATATTGTTGGTATAATTAACAAAATATTCATTCTACAGTAAATTGTAACTTTGAAGTTGTGATTCTCAAAATTAAAATAAATACAATACCTTTTTCAAACCAAGCCCACGATTTGCCATCGTTTTTAAACTATACCGTATAATTCACAATTTTTTTTTTTTTTTAATGAAGTGATATCATATCCTATAATTTTAAAGTATCCCTGTTTTAAGCAAAAATGTTAACTATTATTTGTTAAAAATAATAATTTTTCAAATATTTGTAATCCAAAGTGACAATGTAACCTTGTTTTTATCTAAAACTCTATAAGAGGAATGATCTTAATTTATAAGTGACCAACTAAATGTTGCTAATCCTAATAGCTATTTATATGTCTTTATGAACATTATTGAAGCATTCAGAAGGTAACTTTATTTTAAACGTAAATATTAGAACTAGAAACATTTATTGGGTCACTACGGATCAATTTATAGAATAGAGATCGTAATAAAAAGACAGTTATGTGATCACTTGGTAAATTTAGATGGTTCAGTTACTTTAGATGGTAAATATTCGAAAAGTCATTATTTTTACCATTTCTGTTATAAATAAAACTGTATTTATGGATATCTGTTTATTATAATACATCTGAGGTAGTGGAAACAAAAGAATGAAAATTTTGCAATACTTCATTGTAATCATTTTGGCTGACAACACGGGTACTCACATGTGACAGGATATTAGTCCGTGGTACAGAACTCTTTTTATGGAACTATTAACATCCGCCTGAAACTTCGTAAATAATTTCATCTCATCGTAACCTACGTTTTATTTCCAAAAACTCTTGAAATTGGAGTGTTTTCAATCTGGAGGGGGGCAAACATTGTCTATTTAATTAGGTACTAAAAACTCGTAAATACCCATTTGCTTTCGATTACTTAGATCGTAAGATAAATTTATCACAAAATCGATAAAAAAGGTGGCCAACAAAATTATTGGGCAGTTTGTCCTATATAACCTCCTTATTTTGGAAATTCGGGAGTGTAGGTCACGTCAAACGGCTCAATATTTTTGAAGGCTACCTTTTTTATCGACTTCGTAATCAAATTATCTTACGATCCAAGTAGAAAGCAAATGTGTATTCACGAGTTTTTAGTACCTAATTAAATAGACAAACTTTGCCACCCTCCAGGTTGAAAACGCTCCAATTCCAAGAGGTTATGTAAATAAAATAGTTGTAAGTTACTATGAGATGAAACTATTTACGAAGTTTCAGGCGGATGTTAGTAATTCGATAAATAGAGGTCTGTTCTACTGACTATAACAACACCTAATTTTTTAGACTATTTGAGGTGAATCTCAACTTATTTCGTAGTAAACCTCAACGTAATAATATAGATTTAAAGCTTACTAAACAAAGAAGTTTTTTTTAAAGTGTGGTATCTGTAGTATAGTTGAACGGTGATAAAAAATAAAAATAATCGCGAATATTTCATTTTTTTTTTTAACAGAACTTACCTTTGTTTTTCTAGTTATCGCTTCCTATTCATTAAAAAATGTTTCAGAATTCAAAAAATCGGACTCATGTTTATACGAACTTTTTTGTGCTCTTGAGATCTGCTATCACCGCTTTAAGTACTGCCCTCTGCCCTTGCGGGACGCCCTAAATAAAGTGCAACAATAACCAGGGTGAATGAGTTGACTTATCGGATAGGTTCGAGGCGCGAAAAGGGCCGGACCCCTCCCTGGAGGCTATTTCCAGGAAAGTGCTGCTGGAGCGGATGTGCAACAGCCTCACTATATATAGCCTCAAAATTCTGTCTCTGTCCCCATCTCCCTCTGCAACAACCAACGCCTACTCCATTGCAGAGTCGACCTGTGGCCATTTGGATCTCCAATTAATAAATAGGAAAGCAATATACTTCCTTATTTCTTAATTTGTTTTCTTCATATTGCTCAAATGGTCTCTACAGAATCGTCCGAAAAGTTGATTTGTTTTAACCATAACTTTCAAGAAGGCTTCTAACTGATATTATTTGTATTATTATTTTAATTTCATAGTTGGCGACAGGGGCCCTCAAGCTAAAGGACCCGCCTTACCTATCTGTTGGCAGGATTTGCCATATCAATCAAGTCTCACAAAAACCTTTCAAGTGCTTGACTCTTTGGCTATAGATATATATTGTAACAATTTAAATGAAAATTTCTCTGATTTAAATTTTTTTCGAAACTCGATGTTAAACCTCTTTCCTGGATTTCTGCCAATTTTTAAGCAACTGAGATAAACGATTAAAGATTTTCATTCAGCTTGAATAATAATTTCAGGACCATCGAATTATTTTTTTTTTTTTTATTTCTTAATGACATTTACAACTGTATTAAATAAGTACATTTAGTAAATTTGGACATAATAGATATAATGTCATGAAACTTGCTGAGTAACTACCCAATGGTAGCACTCTAATGATATGAATACATTAGGAGATCACGGGGCCATCTTCTTTTCAGACGCCTCGGAGGGTTATCAGGAATTGAAGAGGAAGCAAGGTTAGAAACGAGAGGGTTGGGATGATTCTGAAGTTTATTATAGAAGGATAGGTATCTTGATTGGGCCAGATCTGAAACATAAGGAACATTAAGGTCGTTATGGATTATTTTATTGGTGACAAAGTAAGGAGCATTGAGGATTTTGGATTATAAGGATTGGATGTGAGAGAAATTCGATGGTTTAGTGGACCCCCTAGCTCAACTCCGTAAGTCCAAATAGGTCTTATTATAGTCAAGTATATGATTCTTTTGTAATTAATGGGAAGTTTAGAGCGTTTGTCTAGTAAGTGCTGAAGTGATTGGAAACGTCGAGCGGTTTCTTGTCGTTTCAGTCTAGTATGAGGATTCCAAGTTAGTCGTTTGTCCAGGTGGAGTCCTAGGTATCGGATTTGCTCAACAGGGATAAATGGAGTATTGAATTATTTAATTTAAATTATATTGTATCCTCATCAAAATAATATTATTTATTTATTTTTAAAATGAGATTATAAGTGTTCTTCTAGCCCGAGGGTGAACTCGTGCAGTAATTGTAGTTTGAAGATTAAATTTGTTTTTTTCTCCTAGCCCATTACTAACAAAATATTTATTAATATTACCATAAATTAGAATATTGCGATATCATTTTTCAATTTACATATATAGTTGTGAATATTCTGTAACACTGGATATTTAGTAAAAAAACAAACAGTGAGTGGTTGAACTGTAGTTCTTTTTTAATATATATTTATTCAGCCCCAAAATAAATAAATAATAATAATAAATAGAAAATAATACTATGGCATTGTAGAAAATGGCATTGTTTGGAGTAGTTTCCTATATTATATCGAATTGACGGTCGATGGGGTGTAATTTGTAAATAACGAGATTAGCAACCGATTTATAAGTAGGTCTGTTCGCCTAGGCGCCTAGCCCTGTGAATTGGAGATGGCAGGTTCGAAACGTAGGATTAGGACCGAAGGTACACAGTAGGTATCTGAGAGGAACTTGTGCCCTATCGATTTGTTCAGTTTGGTTCGGGATAGTAGAATATTTCATGCAAATATCCGATGCGTTCATTTTTACAACCGGTATTAATTTAGGTAGGTTAGTAAATATTTTTGTTTAAGCAATTGAAATAATGGTTCGAAGAGACTATAATATACTACTGTTCATTTTAACAATCTTTGTACAGTTATTTATTTTTATTATTAACGAATATTATAGAAAAAATAAATACGGTAAAAAAAAGAAGGCCTTAAAGAACCCGAAACGCGAGAAAGGCGTCTGTCAACTGGGACCCTAATGTGTGGTCTCTCAGCTGGAGTGGAAAAGGCTCACACTTCTGTCCAGAAAAAAAAAAGGAAAAAACTTTGTTTATAGTGATGTTCATCATTCCTCACTTTTTTCTATCACACCCCACTTTCTAAATTTTTTTTTCATGGCAAGAGGCTTTCAAAGTTTTTCTAATTATCCTTAAGGCTTTATAAAAGGATCTTGGGGCAGGAGAAGGGATGAATCAAAGGAAAACGAATAAAACGACAATTATAAACAAAGCTATTTATATAAATTATACTTTAAAAAAAATACACATTCTAGGAAATTTCTCATTAGAACATTTCCAATCTGTGAATTCATAAGCACCTTACATCAGCAAATTACAAAAATAAATATGTCAATTAAAACTACCTTTATTTACAATAAATGCAATTATAACTAGGAATGGCAAAGATAGAATTCGTACTAAATTTTGGTAACGTGTACAACAATTCTTTTTTAATATTGTCATAATTTTTTTTTTCGATCTCATTCGTTATATACATACAAAACAAAATATATATCAATACCTAAATATTGAAAGATTGATTCAATTTTACTTTAAGCTAAGTAAATACATGTCTCACTAAGGGATATCTACACTTTTTTAAATAATTCCTCAGTAAAAAGGGTATACTTGAAATGTCACAACCACAATATGTAAGGTACATACTGCTAATAGAAAAATCTCTATAACTAATACTGAAAGAAAAAATAGTTAAAATTAATAAAGATATAAAAAATCATAATATGGAGAGTGCAGGGTAAAATTTTAAATTTCATACTGTATCTCATTACTGCCTCTAAGCTAAATCATTTTGAGGATTGACATCATTCAAAAAAGGGTACTATTCCATTAGCCGGGCGGGAGGAAACCTCCCTTGTTATCTAACGTTACGTCACATAACCTCCCTCCTCTTATCTCGCCAAACCATTCAGTTATTATATTGTTTATTTTTCAGTTATTAACTTATTACTTCAGTTATTAAATTCTTTATTTTTGGTCCGTTTATGTTATTTTCGTCAAATTATGGATCTTGTTACATTCTGGGAATTACCGTCTTCGGAAGAACAGGCTATTAAATATTTTCAAAACGTTGGGATAATTACAAACGTGAAATATATATATATATATATATATATATATATATATATATATATATATATATATGTGTGTGTGTGTGTGTGTGTGTGTGTGTTTTATATGTTTGTATTATATATGTTTTATTCCTTATATATGTAAAATTAAAGTGTTTTCTGATTGTTGTGGGAATTATCACATTTCCTACATATATATACATATATACATACATTAATTTAATATATATGTCGTAAAATAAAAGTATTTTTTTATTATTACATTTGTTTTTGTTTACAATTTCAATAATAAAATAAAAGTATCTTTTCAATCTTAAAATAAAAGTATTTTTTTATTATTACATTTGTTTTTGTTTACAATTTCAATAATACGAATATAATAAAATAAATATGAATACGAAGATAGGAATTACGAGAAGGCTTATCAGTACCTTATCAGAATTATCACTGTTCAGGTTATACACATTGGCAAGATAGCAGTCCGTCCCGCCCGGCTAATGGACAAGTACCGAAAAAAGTAATTCTTCACTATCATTATTTTCGTCACAGATATTATAGAATACTTTAATGGAACGGAATAAGTTAAAAGTAAAGTTGTTGAGTAAGGTTAGCTATGATTGAGAACCTCCGCTACTCCATTCCCCCTCCATCCTCCAGACGCTGAACGCGTAGCTCAGCCTCTCCTGGGCCATGTAGGAACATCCCAAGTTACCTGAAACATAATCACATACGAGGTTAAATGAATATATTTCATAGATAGAAAGAATGCGTGGAAAATTTGAGACTTCTTAAAAGCACACACCTTTAACACAAATCTTGAATTCTAATCCAACTTACATACTGATTTCCAATCTCCTAACTCAATTAGGAGGGTCATTAAAGATGCTCAACAGACAAAACTATTCAAAAAATAGTGTGGGAAAGTGAGGAAATTTAGGCGTCAGAAACATCTTATCTACTAATCAATTTAGATATAAATTTTTAATCAACAAACTCAGGAGGGTGAAGATGCTCAAAATCTTAAAAAAACTTGAAAATCAGTCAAAAAGTAGAGGGATTGGAGAATGCAAAATCGATAAAACATCAAAAGCTTTCCTCTAACACAATTGTTAGGTGTGGAAAACCTTAAAAAGCGTGAAAACAACAAAATAATTATTCTGGATAGATAAAACAAGTTGAAACCTCCAAAAGATGATTCTCAATTCATATGCATATTATCTCAATTAGAAAGGGTTCTGCAGCTCCTCGTTCGATTGTTCCAAGATAGTTCGATTTTGTCAAAAGTAGTTAGAATTTTATAGAAAATGAAAAAAAAAAAAAAAAAAAAACATTAGAGAAATGATTAGGAACATATATGACCTACCTCGAAGATTTTATTTACTCCTTAAATCATATTTATGTTCTTCAAGTGGGCAGTTAACGAAGTATAATAAATGATTCTCGCTAGTATTGAACGTATGTTTCTTATTAATTTATTCTTCTACTCATAATTAAGTTGGAAAACAACATTTCTTGAAAATTCTTTTTTTTTTTTTGGAAATTTACGATAAGTATAATAGTGACTCACAATCCTGTATGGACTGGATTTTAAATATCTTTAAACTTGACGTGCATTTTAAGTCTTTTATATTGTATTTTATTTCTATTATTCACAACCAGCAGATATTATATATAATCTTAATTAACGGCGGTGACATGGTTAGAGGCACCCTCTATAGCAATTGTTTAACATTTGATTTATTTTGATTAATGAGTAATATGATAAAAGTGGAGGTATAATGTGCTTGAGTTTTGAACATGAATGATAAACGAGATTCACTTATACATTTTAAAGTAGGTTTAATAATAATAAAAGTTTTAGTCACCTTGAATTTATGTAATACAGCTCAAACAGAATCTGATTATTTATTCACTTTCAAAATAAATTAATCATTCACTAATTCTGCAACTGGACGATGTGCGTTGGTTTGGCATTAACGCGTACATTCTCGAGTTTGGTGAAGCCGGTACGAGTTTATCTCTTGGGTAACACAGAATGAATCTCGACCTTCCCACTCAGGTTAGAATAAGTTTGATTTTATCTATGAAACAACCCAATCCCCTCCCTCCCATATGCCAGAAATGTTAGGGATGAACGAAGAAACAGAAAAAAAAATGAATGATGATGGTATGCGTTGTACTTGAGTTCATGCGACCCTTTCTAAATTTCTAACCTAAAGAACCTGTCTATACCGAATAAGAACATAAGGGTAACAGCATTTCCAATAAAGCTATAACGCTAGAAACTCTGTTCTGGAAATTAATAAGATGGAGTAGAAGACTTAAGGTGGTATACATAGTCGTTCCCCTCACTCCATTTGAACGTTCCGTCAAAAAGGAATACTTTTATGAAACTAAATGAAAAAGGATTCCTTTTAGCCAATTTGATGTTTCTTTTCCTCTTAAAATATGGCGGGAAAACGCGATAAAGTATCGATTGAACATAGAATAAGTTATTAAAGGTGTTTTAATTTACATAATGACATTGTTTTATACAATATCTCATAGGATATACCTTCAATGAAATTGAATGAAGGTAGGCCTTTTTATTGAGTTACTTTAAAGTATTCCTTTTTGACGGAACGTTCAAATGGAGTGAGAGTAACGACTATGCATACCACCTTAAGTCTTCTACTCCACTTTATTAATTTCAAAAACTGAGTTTTTGGCGATGTATCCATTCGTAAAATAAAGACCGCCGTTTTGTATTTCTCACAAAAATGGTTTGGACCCCTCTTAAATTAAATTTAAGATAGATGCCATATAAGACAGATAGACCAGGCTGGACATATAAAGAGAACAGCGCAGAGACAGTTTGCTCTGAGGTATATACCATTGAGGATGCGGCTATGTTATGATGCACATCCCCGACAGCTGCGTCGAAGACAGTCCCAGCTGCAGGCTCGCCTCTCCTCCAATATTTATAGCCAACTAGTGCTACGTGCTGATTCTGTTTTAGTTGACACCTGGGCCTTATGGAGTGCACTACTGCCTTAGTTACTTGGTCAGGCAAAGAAGCTGATAAGTTTATTGATGGACAACGCGGTTTCTATGGGAGCCCGATACCAAGTAACTAACCGCATTCGTAACAGATGATATCTAATAACTCATTGCCAGTAATTAAATGAAATCTTTCTTAGGTGTGTATAATATGAGTTATTTATATTTGAAACTTTGATGGATGAGCTATAAAAAGTTCTTTAGGAGGTTGACATGGTAGCTCTGAATCCTCGGGCAAACAAGAGGCGAGGTTTCAGCGTAGATTTTCCTTGTAAAAGGGTACATTCGACCAATTTATTCCGTAAGATGGAGGACTAGGTGTAATATATTATATTAGAAAATACATAATACTACGTTCTTGCGCTCTAGAAGTCATGTCTGAACTGAAAAATAATAGATCTTGTACAGTAGTATGTTTTAAGATGGTGGTCGCATTTCTAACTAAAAAGATGTTTGATGTTTTGTTTTTTCATCCTGTTTAACTCAAAGTGAACAAGAGAAGATATTGTCAATTTTAAGAGTAATAAAAAATAAATAGAAAACAAATGAAAACAAATTTTTATTAAGGATGACAAGTTTTAAGTTTACTTCCGCACAAGAACTATTATTTTTATTCTTCTAGCCTGCAAGAACTCGGTAATAAATCACAAATGAAATCTAAACGCTAGATGGGTCAGCAGTACCGTCACCTACTTAGCTAAGATGTGTCATTCTTGTTCCATGTTTCAAGTTCGGGCGGACAGTCCACCTTCTGTTTGAAGAGTCTGGAAGCACTTCATGTTGGGTCGCTCCAGAAAATGGATGTATGAAACCCGAAGTCCGCAAACTAAAGATTGAATCATTAAATAGATATCGTCGGCACCATGTTAAAATAACGAATTAACAATCTACTCAACGTTTCAAATTTGTTACTTTAACATTTTGCCGACGATATAATGACGATTCATAAACGTTTTTCAATTTTTATTATTGCTCCTAATATATACATTTATAAATATATACAAATATATAGCACTGTTAGACCTTTCGCCAAGTAATAAAGTTTCCAGGACAGCCGGGTCTCGAGAGTCTTCAACTCCATTTCTCTCAAATTATTATTATTATTTTTTTACTCTGGAATAAGAATATTTGTGCATTCAATCTGAATAATAATTAATTGAGATAATTAATCCTGAATAGCAGTTATAAATTTAAGTTCAGTTTTAAAGAGACCCGTGCTGGATTTACTTTATTTAATTTGTTATTACCCGTGCCAGTTGTGTCCATCACATCGTGTAACCATTGTAATATAAAGTGGATGTTACTTCTCTATGTAAATAGAATCTTGGAAAGAAATAAAACCCCATAAGTACATGAAGGAGGCACTTACCAATGTCTTCTGGTTCCTCCTTAACCGCTGCTTCCGGACTGTGGAGTACCCTATACAGGAAGTCGATGTACCTGGAGGCTAGCTTGAGGGTCTGTATCTTGCTCAGCTTGTCCGAAGGGAGGGTGGGAATAATGGCTCTGAGGGACGCGAAGGCCGCGTTGAGGCTCTGCGTTCGTTGCCGCTCGCGAACGTTGGCCATCATCCTCTGGCTGCTGGCTTCCTCTGCGGACTGGCTGTTCCTCCGCCGCCGCCGCACACTGTCCCGGTAGTCCCCAGGGTAGGCTGTCGGGTACATGTTCCTGTCGGGCAAAATGACATTTTTTAACTTTCTCAAGATGCTAAGTATTAATTCATGAATGATTGTATCAACGCTCTTGGAACAACTAGAAGAGTTGTCACTTCATTTTACTTTTAAATACTTCCATATGAGATAATAAAAAGGGCTTAATTAAATGTTACATCCTCTTCGCTCTTGGTTAATCAAGCTTTAGAATTATTATTTGTAAGGCAATAAATGTATGAATTAAGAAACTTTTAATGTATATTTTTGGAACATAATAAAAGCCACTAAGCTGTAAGCCACCTGCATACTGTATAACTTAATATCACAGCTTACATATCGGTATATGTATGTATATGTTGTCTTTGCGAGTTAAAACCTACTGCTACTTTTTAATAGCATATTAAGTAGTTACGCTCATATAGATATTACGGCACTTATTAGTGTTGCCCAAAATAGGTCTTGGTCTTGCACTTCGCAAATATATGTAAAGAATTGGTATAACTAGTGTTGCCCTAATGCGAGACCGAGACGAGTGTTGGTCTTGCAAACTCAGTCTTGGTCTTACGCAAGAGTCTCGCAACAGTCTTGCAGTTACTTATTAGCTTATTACTATAGAGATATTACTGTAAATTTTTAGATAGGAAAAACCTAACTGAGGGCGCATGAAAAATTAGGAGAGTTAAATGCAAAAGTATATTGGTTATAGCAATGATTTACATATTGTAACTAAAATTGTCAGGTAATTTTTTTTTTATCAGTCCTGGTCTTTATCATGCAACAGTTTAGGCGGCCTTGGTCTTGGTCCTGCTAAGTGCAAGACCTAGACCAATTTTGGCTAAAACTAGATATAACCAATATACTTTTGCATATAACTCTTCTAATTTTTCATTCGGGCTTAGTTAGGTTCCTTCTGCCTAAAAAATTACAGTAATATCTCTATATAAATAAGCTGATAGTTAACTGCAAGACTGATGTGAGACTCTTGCACAAGACTCGTCTTGGTCTCGCATTTGGACAACACTAGTACTTATTGATTATTTGCTTAAAAAATTCGTCTTTCCTCTTTATTTAATTATAAATTAAATAAAACAAAAGCGCTTAACATAACAATTTCTGATGTATTAGTGTTCCGTAACACTTCTTAGTTGGTGGCGCTGTGGTCCTTGCAGAACTTTAGCCTCTATGTTCCTCAAACTGACCTATCTTCGATTTCCAATCTCCATCCGACAACAGCCATGTTCTGAAGATGGTTCTCTACATCATCCAGTCAGGCTGCCTCTTATTCTTCTTCCATTCGGGTGTCCATCCATTAACATTTTAGGGAGCTTCATAGGCAGCGATTGTTTTCAGCTCTTCTTCCACCAAATATTTTTTTTCTTCATTGGGGTCATAGATTTTGCGAAGGATTTTCTTTCCTACATGTTCAACAGACTTCATTCATAAAGTGTGAGTTCGAGTAAGAGTTTGACTTGCTTCCATTTATAACAAGTTTTAAAATTTTTGCAGATTTTCGTCAGGGGCCAATATCGCTTATTGCCAGATATTATTCATGTCTTTATTTCTTCTCTTAAATTATTATATTCTGTGATAATAGAACCAAGATACTTAAACTAAGAATGTGGGCGGGGTGGCAACCTGATATATGAATCAAAGATATAAAAATAGTCACGAGTTCGCGTCCCGGTGCCCGGAGGAGTTTTTAAATCCCCGCCCACACCCTCTGGCCCGGGAAAACCGCGTATAGCCTTACAGGCGAGGAAGGGGAGGACCCAAAAAAAAAACTTACACTGTGGTATCTATTCGAAACGATATCCAGCCTTTTCGATATATATATATATATATATATATATATATATATATATATATATATATATATATATATATATATTGTTTTTCATCTCTTTGGTTGTGTATATAGTTTTTCTGTGCAACTGTACTAAGCGCATTCATCATTTTTATTTTTTGAGGAAATCTTTTTTTAGTTCGTTCAAGTTAACGTACCCAGTCCAACACACAATATAGTTTTGTACGAATGTAATTAGCTTTATTTTTAAAAAACAAAAACAATGATTTTTTGCTTACTATTCAGTGCCGATATTTTTTTTATGAAATCCTAGTTTTGAATAAATTAAATAGATAAATTGATAAGCACTATTAGCCATATTGAACTCGACAATGAAGATATCAAATTGGTCTCATATATTGATTTAATATAATTTTTAATATTTTCACTGAACAAAATTTAGATTAATTTTGGATAATGAAACAAAGAATTTGAAATCAATTAAATGGCAGAAGATAGCTAGCTAGACTAGCTATTTCATGCACCATTACAGATAGTAAAACTCATTTTAACAACATAAGACAGACTAAACTAATTAAAAAAGTACATAATTCGTGAACTTCTTAACCTATACTGAAATTATAAGTGAGTTTTGTTTTAATGGATCAATGTTTTGCTTCTCCTCTTCTGTTAATTTTTTTATAAAACCGAGGTTGAATAATTTCTTGCTATTTATAAAAAAATATAAATAGCACAGAACTATCATGAAGTATAAATATAATTCCTTTCATAGACTAGTGGTATTACAGAGAAGGGATAAGGTGGACTATGTTCGACATTCTTGTATCCGGATATTGGTAGGCACTTTGGAATGTCCGATGACTATTCCTTTAATGAACTATTTTAAGAAACTATCTTAAATTTATTTTCGTATTTTTGCGGAAAATAATATTTTTTGCACTGTATGGTAGGTCTTGAACCCGGGAAGGGTGGGGATGCATTTTACATCCGTTTCATAATCCAAGAATATAGTTTTGGGAATTTCTGGTATAAATATTTTCTCCGCTTTCTTTGGGGCACTTCCAATGATTTCTCACTCTTTTGGATCAAAGCAATTAAAATTTGGTACGTAGGTTTCTTTTCTATGCAGAAAAATACAGTAAAAGTAGATGTAAATTTCAGCCAAAATTTTGGCATGTCCAAATGTTTTTTTGCAGATTTTAATATTTCGAGCACCTTAATCTCAAGCTACTTGAGATAAAGGGTTAAAAATTTGTTTGTTCTCTTCCTCTTTGGTTCAAAAAAACTGTATTTTCGTATTTGTGGTTTTCTAGGCAGAACAATACAGTAAATACAGAGTAAATTTCAGTTAAACTTTGAATGACAAAAGGTTGAAACCAGACCTGAGCAGTATTTCAAATATAATATTTTAAAGCACAAAATAAAAATTTGTAACTTTATTTTTTAAGAATAAAATAAAAAATTATTTGTATTTTATTTCCAAGATATTATATTTAAAAAAATATTTTTTAAATACAAAAAAATAAATGACTCGAAGTATTTGTATTTTGTAATTAAAATACAATGTATTTTAAAAAAGTAAACTATTTGATATTTTAAAATAATTCAATTACTTTTTACCAGGTTTGATTGAAACATTGTTTGCGATTTGAGAAAAGTGCCTTTTGGAAGTATGTTTTTTTCTCTCCCAGTTTTTATTTCCGTAGTTTTCAATGTTTTACGCTTTAAATCAAGTTCAAGTTCGAATCCTTAAGATTTGGCGGTACGTTTATGGATTAGTAATTATTTCTAAATTTGGGTTTATGGATTTTTTTATATGGCTAAGTAAAAGGTAATATTTAACCTGAAAATTCTATTATTTTTTAATATAGTGTAAATTAATTTTAATTATTATTTATTTTCATGTTTAGCGAAATGAATTTGAGAGTGCTTTCAATACACCATTTCCTTAATTTTGTATTAAAATGTATAAATTAAAATCTTAATTGGATTTTAAATTTCAGTCTCCCGAGAGCCTTAAAGTTATTTTATTTAAAATTTATATGTTACAGTAGTATTTTTATGGAGCCATGTATTTATAAAACTATAGTTGAGATACTGAGAAAATATACGAAGATTTATGCACATTAATAGAAGTTATTAGTTTAACAATTTCTGTCAGAATTAGACAATCATTTGTACCTAGTAATTACAGAATATGCACATATTTAGGTCATCCCTCTGTCTGCTCATCAGATCAAACAATGGTTCATCTTCGATTTATAAATAAATTGTAATGTACAAACGTACAAATTTTACTGATGAGGGAAACTTAAAACAGTGAAAAATAAATCGCTGGAAAGGCGGAGAAAAAATTCAGAACTCAAAATGGTACTTTCTCTATCTATAAACAATTTTTTAATCCTTTATCTTAATTCAGAGCAGCTATGGTTACCTGAAACAACATTTAGACATGCCAAAATTTTGACTGAAATTTACTTCCACTTTTATGGTTAATAGTTGTGCTTAGAAAACCAACTTACTTACCAAAATTAATATTCTTTTGATCCAAAAACGTGAGGAGGCATTGAAAGAGTCTCAAAAGAAGCGGAGAAAATATATATACCAGAAATCTACAAAACTATATTTTTGTGTTCGGAAATGAATATACAATACATCTCCACACTCTCCTACAAGACATCTGTAGCTATATGAATGAATGAAAACCTGTTTATTAAACTTTTTAAAAAATTACACAAAGTAATATATATATATATATATATATATATATATATATATATATATATATATACAAGCAACAACACATAGACAATGGAAAATTCCGTCTGTCGAGGTCTGTGTGTAATTAATAATAAATATTCATTACTAAAATAAATGGGCAATAATATATCTACAGTAGTATTATATTTTTATACATCCATTCTTGCAATTTTCTTCTTCACTGTTTCATTTGTTTAAATAGAGTTTTAAAAAACAAACATTAATACATCACAAATCCTATATAAATTTAAATTCAACTTTGTTGTTGAATTTAAATCCAATAAGAAATTTAAATTCAACAACATTAATAACAACCATCTAATACAATATAACAATAAAACAAACGTTACAATAAATAAACACGATATTGTATGAATAGTTTACTATCTGACTAATTGAGATCTTTGCAATGTGGCCTGCTGTACATAATTGCTTAAGACTTTCCAGGTAGAACCCTTTAAGAAACCAAATAATTCTTCTGCGAAACAGCTCCGTTGCCCAAAACATTTCTCTCTTAACTCACTGTACATGTGACAAGCCCCCAAAAAGTGAATGATATTCTCTTTTTCTTGAGAGTTACATACCGAACAGTTATCGTTGTCCCCCGCCATCCATGGTTTTACGCTTACATCGAGCAATTCTGTCCTACATCGAAAAATTGATCTTATAGTCACAATATTAAAACTATCATTAAGATAGGGCTTAACAGTGCCCACTGAACATAGTCCTGTGTAAACAGAAAAACTTTAATGAAGACATTTTTGAAGGTTATTATGTTTTTTTAAGTCCTCTACCCTATGTCTAACAACAGTTAATTTTCCGCGCAGACCAGTGATATTTGCAGTATCTAGATTAATTTGTCAATTAATCAAACATATATCTTGATATGGAGCTACATATAATGTGTAAATATCTATTTGTTTCAGCGAAAATACATTTAAAAAATATATAAGATAGTAACTTACAAAAAAAAAAATTGCCGGAAATCCACAAAACTGTGGATTCTTGTGTTATGAAACAAAAATGCATCTCCACCTTCCTCTTCAATACCTTTGATATATCACAAAAATGTATCATTTTTCCGCGAAAATACGACAAAAAATATTTACGATAGTTACTTAACACAGTTCATTATATTCCTCTGTAAAAAATATTCATTCTAAAACATTATTCTCGGGTTTTGAACACTGTTTTTATGAATGTTTTGAAACTTTCTTTGACCAGTCTTTAAGAAACCGGTTAACAAAATAAAATATATGTACATCAACGCAGACTTGAATATGTTGGAGTTAATAATATAAAATAACCGAAGGAATTGGCTCTTCATTTGTATCTGGTAAATAAAAAATACGCACGTCAGTTTTTCCCCTCCAAAATGATAATTTACCACTAATGTTGATCAGTGTAAGTTTCTATATTACAAACACGGTTTAACTTGCTGTGAGTAAACGCGATCGTGAATGAACAGAGTGATTGAAAACTCCGTAATCATATTAATAAAATATTATATCCCTATAATTCAATATCAAGTATATTAATTCAAATGACTTCTTGGTCCGGTAAGATAACTGAAGTGAAAGTTTACCCGTTAGCCTGCGTCTGTTGGTAGATGGGCTCCAGGTTGAAGAACTGTTGACGGACGACCTGATGGGAAGAAGAAGTAAGCACACTGGACTTGACTAATGTGACTCGGGGTAAAGCCTCTCTGTTTAATACCTGCCCCCACCCTCATCTGTCAGCCAATGGGAGCACAGCTTTCAAACTAAACCAACCACTCCGAAGGGCTGGCGCATCTTATGGCCCCCTGGGCCAATCCGTGTCCTTTGTCCATAGTCACGAACAAAAGACGGTATTTGAAAACTCATCAGTCTTCAGAGAACGGAAAATTCACTTTCCAGAAATTATGAAAATACTTTAAATAGCTTTAATGTAAAACATAACAGAGCATAATTATTATTAAAACAATAGAGAAAAAATTAAAGTCCACTCTCGTTCAATAAAACATTGTGCCATTGGACATTGTCTAACATAATACCATTTATATATTTTTTGCCATGTTGATTTCAAGTCAACTTTAACTCTTGAAACTCAAAAAATCTTTCGATCTAGTTTGTCCACATTTTCGTATAAAAAACCATATTTATTGTACCCTCTCTTAACATGGCCATATCATACATTTCCACATACCTTAATTTCCTTTTTCCTACCCGTAGTTTTTTTCAGGTTGTTAACTAACTTCATTTTATTATTATCCCCCTTATTAACTATTCTCTTTACCTCATTCAATATTTTGTTATAGTTTTATGAATTACTGAAGGAACTTAGTCGGCTGTTCTACTTATCATGGGTGATAAATATTCAGGACGTAGTCTTTTTTTTTTTTTTTAATTAATTTTTTATTTATACCAACGTTTCAACCCAAACATGTGGTTCATCTTTAGGGATCAAAATTTTTTTAAAATACAATCAGAGATATAATATTATACGACCGATAATGGCAAATATTAAAATATAGTGATTGATGGTACATGAATCTTAATTAATATTACAATACATATATATATATATATATATACATTTTTTTTTAAACTTTTATTGAGTATTAATACAGTTTGCCACACTGAAGGGCATTGGTACTAGGGCTATAGTATTCATTCACTCAATATGTACATAAGAAAGGAAAAAAAAAAAAGTATATATATATATATATATATATATATATATAAAGATAAAGTAATATACAAGATAATTAAAACAACAGACCAGCCGAGTAATAACAAAACAAATAAAACACATTCACACCTATACAATACATATATTAAAAATGAAATATGTTAATAGTTATACAAATTAAAAAATAATGTATATTATCCATTTATACAAATGTGTAACATTTTCTCTTACTAGCCGTGGTTTGAGCACTCAGGGTGTTCAAGCATTGAAACATTTGATATGTGAAAATAAAATTTGAAAATGTCAGGGGGACAGGATTTCTCAGTTGCCCTTTTTCAGATAGCAAAAGGTAGGTAAACATAGTCAGAGGGGAAGGGAGGTAAAATTTCTGTTTGTATAATGTAAATAATTTGCTGACTAAATATTTCAGATGTGAACAATGTTTGCGTTGTTTCTTATGGTTACAGAAATGTGACTATTGGCTAGTAATGAAATGAACTTAAGCAAGAGTTGCCAATATAAATATCACTTTTTATATTGTAGTATTACTATATAACATCGTATTTCATATCTATTATCGTATCTTACAGTTACGTTCAATATTAGTATGTTTTAATATACATCATATTTATTTAATTCAAATCTCATTTAAGTTTATTTTCATTATTCTACGTACCTAGTTGATCAAAATCATCTTTATTCTTCAAATTTCCCTACTGTTTATCCTTTCATCTTAATATCTTTTTTTTTTCTTTTTTTTTTATACTATTACCCAAAATCCTTCTTATTGGTTGTTATTTTGACTTTACTTAACCCTGAATGAAGTACTATGACTTGAGCCGAAACTTCGGCACGCAATGAAGTAAGGCTTCTTATTAGTTTATAATATAATTTATGACCGCACCCCTAACCTTCTTTCTTACGATTCCATTTACGGTCTTCAATATCTCCCCTATTACAAATGTAGCACTAGCGGAACCAAGATTTAATTTTAGGAGGGATTCAGGTTTTTTGTTATATATATATATATATATATATATATATATATATATATATATATATATATATATATATAATTAGTAATTATGATAATTACTTTGAAAGAAATTAACTGCCTATTTGAAATGGTGTTTAAGTGATCCTCGAAGATCTTTTAAGAATATAATCACACGAGCAATAATACTTGTAAAGATATTTTTTTCATAAGACATTGTTCTATTTTACCATTTTTTGGGAGTAGGAGGGAGCTTCTCCCCGAAATCCCTCCCTCCACAGATCCGCAATCGCCCAAAAATACAAAACATATTAAAATAATTAATTTTAGCATACCGATTAAAAAACTGTATGAGATAACTGTTGAATGAAATAAAATTCAAATATAACATAATATAAATCAGCTGAAGAAATAAATTTAATTTTTATAAAGAGGAGTAGATGACGTCATGCCCGAGGGGAGGGGGGCTGAATGTCTTATGCCGGCACTGATCCTGTTCATTTGTCACCCTCATAATTTTAAAATAGCAGTCGACTAAATATGCATCTCGAAATTATCAAGGTAAGCCAGATGGATAAAGAAACCAGAAGTCCGACATAAAACATAAAAATACAATACAATAGAAAAATAACTTCAATGCCCTTTAATATTTTAATAAAACCGAGGGTGAAACATTTCTGCCTATTTAAAAAAAAAAAAATTAAAAATTGAGTATAATATAAAATAATGATTATTTCTGGCCAGAACATCTAATTTTTTTTTTTTTTACATTACTATTTTTATGTGATAAAATTTTTTTTTTTAGGTAAAAGTTTTTTTTTACAATGGTGTGATATCAACAGAAAAGTTCATTTTTAATGCGGCAATAAAATCTATATCCAGTTCGTTACACCAACAGCGATGAAGGAGTAAAAAAAAGTATGTTTCTGCTGAAGAGAAAAATTAATCAATTATTCATATCAGCTTTCACACCTTATAAACAAATAATTAAATTTTATAAAATTCGATTCTCACTGCCATTCAGATAACTTTGTGATTTTGTAAGGAGTGGCTTGATGTTTAGAATATACACCTGTCGCCAACCGATATAATTTTGTTTGAAAACATGATGAACAAGTTTGGACTCAAGCCCAGTTGAAGCTAACATGTGTGATTGGAGAAAATATGAATGAGAAAGATTTGAGGTGGGAAAAGGAAAGAGATGAAAGACACCGCCTTCCATATCTTTACTGTCCCGCCAGGTGGGGCCTATCCTCCTTCGTATCCAGATGGCTTGTCTTCGCCAGCACTTCATTTACCGTCAACGGTTTGTGTAACCTTCCGCAAAAATAATTCTTTCAATCATATGAGTAAAAAGTCGATTTCAGAAAATTTAAATATTCTTATTTTGTTACCTTTTATACTAATAATAACTTTCAACATCGTTGAAAGATTCCCAAGCCCTAATACCAGTAAATAACTAAGGAGTCAACGTTCCTTCAATTCAGGCATCTTCAGGAATGAAAAAGACAAGACCACCCCAGTACAGACCAGAGACAGCACAGCTGGTGAGGGCAAAACCAGAGATGGTACCAGGGTGAGAATTGCCAAAATATGTGTTTTCTGCCGCTGTGCACGTGCCTTTCGACTTGAGGAATTCCCTTAAGGGATTTTACAGTACCTTTTCAGTCATATTTTTTTATTTTTTTAGCGTATGCGTGCAAGTGAGGGAACACCATTCGACGTTAGTGATTGTCACAACTTGTTCGGAATGGGAATTTCCTCGGCTGGCGAAGTGTAGCCAGAAATATAAAACTTTTAAAAAATGTCTTTTTTCTTATATAACTGGACTAAAAAAAATAAATACTGAAATATTTAAAGAATCTTAAAACTTTATTTTTATTATAATGTTACCTTTTTGATTGCACCTAAAATAAAAATAAAAAATATAATATTCTGAAGTATTATTTTTTTTCATATCATATATTTAAACTCTTCTTCATTACCTTTAAAACATTCATCTTCTCCTCTCTTTTTCGAGAGATGATTGCTTTCCAAGAACAACTGAAAACAGTAAAATGTCAATAAATATTTTTTAAATCATTAGCGAAAGGCCATAAAAAAAATAGTATAATTCACATTTATCTTTCGGAAAAAATGTTGTTTCATATTCTAAAAATCTGAAATTAGTTTGTCAACAATATAAATACAACAAATTTGCTACGCAGATGCAATTTGCATGGCATTGCTACCAAGACTCGTCTTGATCTCGCATTTTGGCAACACTATATACCACTTAATATCCAGAATGATGAGAAGGGTCATAAAGTGTTGACACTGTTGTTAGCTATCCCGCGACTAATATCAGAAAATTTTCTAATATTTTTATTTAGTCAATGCAATATTTGAATAAAAAATTGCCTTTATCCGCAGAAGAATTTTTATTGGCACCACAACAAACGATATGGTGTCCGATTTAAAGAGATAGCAATATCACGAGAAGTTTTCTCTTTTGTACATCTGTACAACATTTTGTTTCTGAATGGAAATGTTTAATTCAAATTATTAAGAAAACATAAAGTTCTATACAATTATATGAGTTCATTACGTATTGTGTAGTTCTTAAATTCAACACTGATCTTATAGAAGCAATTCAACAATCGATTGAAACCAGCACTGATGGGCTGCGTTCAATGCTGAGTTAAGGGACGAGCATTACAGCGCAAGGTTATCACACTTGGTGGATACAAAGCATGGAAAATAATAAGAAATATTTACGTACTGAATCGTTATACAGGAAATGTTTACCTATTGAGTAATAAACTATCTGAACAGAAATAAATATAGATAGATATTATACTTAATATCGAAATATTAAGAAAATTGACTATTAACAATAATGAATTTACAATGAGGTTATATCCAACCGATTCATCGACCCCAAAGGCAATATAAATGCTGATTAATCGATGATCCAATCGTTGAATTAAGGAACGCATGGTATTCCAATTATGACTTA